CAGGTCATTTAGGTGCACTCTGAAAGCATATATCAGCTTTCCTATGTTAAAGGTCTTCATGTTATGTATTTGCATCCTTGGGTCCATAAGGCATGGGTCTTTCAGCTTTAAGATGTCGGGATTATTCCTGCTCCATCAGCCTGGCTGGGTTTTAGGGAGACAGCAATGCATCTGCAGACACAAAGCAGATGGAAGATCCTCCATGGCCAAGTTGAGACAAGTTAGCCCCATACTCCCTGGAGCACTGGCCATAGATGGCCTCTTGTACACACACAGGACCCTCAGTCATGGGAAGAAGTGATTCCAGCAGGAAAATTTAGTCGCCATTCCCAGACATCCAATCCTAGTATTCCCTTCTGAGACAGACCTGCCTGTCCAGGGCACTATTGGCTCTGGTATCACATTCTTTCTCTGGCCTTCATTAGTATTAGGGGCAGGATGCCCTCTCCTTTATTAGACCATGGTAGTGCTAGAGAGGGGCTGTCCCACATCCTGAGAGTCTCATGTTAACAGAGATTCAGCATGAAAGAGAGAAGGGAATGATGAGAAACCCCAACATGTGCCTGGATCAAAATGGTGCTGAATTGGTTCTGTTACCTCCTGTTTGACTGTGAAGTGGCTAATAATATTCCCGTTGTATAGAAAAGGAAACTGAGGGTCAGAGAGGCTAGGTAGCCTGACCTAGCTTAGCCTTTCTAATAGGACTCTTGTCTAGGAAGTAGTGGAGCACAGGTTCTGCTGACCTGGCCAGGGTCAGGACCTTTGTCCCATAGCCAATGGAACAGGAAGAGACCTTTCTGGACAGATAAAGTCCCTCAGGTTCAGGCCTCAAGCAGAGGTGAATGGCTGGCTGTTCCAGTGCAGAGGAAGGGGTCTGAGTACTCTGGTGGTTCTTCCCAGTGTCCTGCAGATACATGACTTTAAGGTGAATCTGATGCTGGACCTGAGGGAGGCGGATACAGTTCCCTCAGTCTGAGGCCTTCTACTCCTGCCAGTAACCACTGAGCCTCAGATGAAGCAACTGGATCTTCACCCAGCCTCATTTTGAGCCCAGCAGATCAGGGCTCCAACAATAAAAGCCCTCCCCTGGCTCAGAGGGAGGCAGGGGCCTGAAGTGGTGTGGGTCCTGCTTGGGCAGAAGGGATTCTGCAGATGAGCGGGTCTCCTGGGATGGAGGCCTCCCTGCTTTAAAACTTTGGTTTCCCAGAGAACCACTTTCCCAGGGTGGTGATGTACTAAAGGCCAGGGTAAGGCCAGGATCCCCATCCTTCCCATCTTAGGGGTGGTGAGAGATGGAACAGCCACAGGCAAATGCCAAGTCAGCCAGCTTTGGAGGAGGTTGCAGAGGCCCTAAAGAAATGTGGGCACTTCAAAGGGTCAGCTGACTTTGGCCTCACTGGAGCACACTGCACATCCCAGTAGGCAAAGGCCCACTACAGAAGAGCCATGTCAGCTTCAAGATCAACCTAGACTCACCACTGGGGGCTCAGGCAGTTGAGCTCTGCAGCCCCAGACCTCTCCACTTCAGCCCAGTCACAGTCTAGCGTGATCACAGTAGCACTCAGTGCTGGAGGAGCTGGCTGCCCACCTCTACCACCAGTAGACAGAGGAATCACAGAAAGTGGACAGCAGGAATGGGCGGCCAGGGGACCAAGTGGTCCAAAGGAGGAGGGGTGGGGTCAAGACTGCACTCCAGCAAGAGAAATAGCGAAGGGAGAAAAATAGCAAAGGCAGAAGGGAAGGCTGCCAGGGTCTGAGGGACACAGAGCTACTGTACTCCAAAGAGGCAGATTGTGTTGGAGGGAGCAGCCCACAGGCCAATTTATTGTTTGTTTTATTACTCTGGGTTGCTGGGCCTTAGGCCAGGGAAGTTATTTCAGGCAGAGATCATAGCACACTAATTAGTTATTAGAAGAATGTCCTTTCTGGTATTCTTCCTGAGACAAGAACTAGACCCCATAGCAGGCACAGAAGTGAAAGTGGATGGTTGCTCAGGAGGCAAAGAGTCAAGATGGGGGAGGGGGCACACCAAGAGGCAAGGCCTTCTGAAAGGGAAAGGCCTCAGGTTCATTCCTCAGGCAGAGATGAGAATCAAGGTAAGAAAGCAGTGAGGGAAAGTTCCTGAGAGCCAGACCTGGCTGTACTTATCTACTACAAAATATGCTTCTTAATGCATAAAGTTAAAAAAAGTGATTCAATAATGGCATACAAATTAGGAATAACAAGAAATACTCAAAAGAAGTAGCTAGTTAAGAAATTAATTATATCTATATGCAGTAAAATATTATATAGCTGATAAAAATAGTGCCTGGCACATGGAAAGATAAATATATTATTTAAAATGTTTTCTCCTGAGTGACAGGATTATGAACAATTTTGTTTCTTTTTCAAATTTATTTGTTTTTGTATTTTTTAGTAATAAAAGAAACTGTTGGATTTAATGAGAAGGAAGAAAAACATATCATTTGGTTTGGGGAAAACCCCTCCTACCCTGCTAGTTGGTTCTCCCTGGAGAGGAAACATCTTTGAAAGCAACAACAACAAAAACCTTTATTTTTTTATTTTATGTGTAAGAGTGTATTGCCTATGTGTATGTAAGTGCACCTGCATCATGCAGTGCCCATGGAGGTCAGAAGAAGGAGTTGGATCCCCCAGAACTGGAATTATATATAGTTGTTAGATGGGTGCTGGGATTTGAACCTGGGTCCTCTGCAAGAGCAGCCAGTGCTCTTTACCGTTGAGCCATCTCTCCAGCTCCGGAAACAGCTTTCGATGCATGAGCTAAATTCAGTTATGGCATGAATGGGAAGGGGGACTTCCTGGACTTGAAGGATAAGAAAAAGGAGGGATCTGCCTCCCTCAGATAAGGAATACTGTGGGGTGGCTCACTCTGCCTCTTTCTTAGACTCAGGAACAGGCAGTGCTGACTCAGGCAAAGCCAAGAAGGTATCTTAGACTAAAAGCACTTAAACCGCTGTTAATTGGGGACCCAGCTCTTAGGACTTTTTTTCTTCTTCTCTCCCGTTTTTCAGGATGTCCATTGGGAACTTCCTAGAACTGAGGCCCTGGAGACAGTGAGGCACAGATGCTACCTTATAAGTGCCGTTGCTGTGGGAGGGAGATGCACAAATAGCCGAATGTTCTCAGACTCACGACCAAAGGAATCTAAGAAGTCTAAAGTGGGCTGTACAAGGCCAAGGGCTCTCTTCAAATGGATCATGCTTCCTGTGAGGCATAAACCCAATCACGTGGAGGGCAGTGATCACAAAGGAAACCATGCAAGAACCCAGGTAGCTCTGAAGGATTTTTGGTATCCATGCGTGATTAAAAAGAAGGGCTGAGACTGAATCAGAGATCCTCCCCCATGTCCCAAGTTAGACCCATTTAACACCACATGTAAATTTAGGGTATACATGTATTTTTCTAAAGAGAGGCCCACAGCTTTCATTGGATTTTTAAGGGAGGAACCGATCTTTAAAAAGGTGAAAAGTGGCTGGGTGTGCATGCCTTTAATTCCAGCACTTGGGAGGCAGAGGCAGGTGGATCTCTGTGAGATCAAAGTCAGCCTGGCAGGCCAACTGAGGCTAAAGGGAGACCTTATCTCAAAAAACAAAACAAAAATATCAACAAAAAGTAAAAAGGTGAAAAGTAATGGATCACATTAACCTCTCAGATATAAATATATGAGTCAAGAAACCATCACCCCCACATCCCCACTTGAAAAATCATTTGACCTCTCAAAGCTGCAGAACCCAAGACTGTCCACTCTACATAAAGACAAACTTGACCTGGTGCTCTGTCCAGACATGACATGTTGATATGATGCACACACTGCTCCCAGAAGACTTGTTTATAAACTTAGCATTAGAGAAAATGAGTACCTAGAAAATTAGTAACCAGACTGTCAACTTTCCTCTCTCCACACCAAACAGAGCGCATGACTTTGCCTGTTACAGATGTTCGTCCAGAAATGAGGACCACTGCTTTCAAACCCTCTGAAGGAGATGAGTACCCTTGATATTGGGAGGACACCAAACCCTGTTTCCACACTGTAGGGATGTGTCTTTCAACCCAGAGAGTTACAAGCACCTTCAACAACTGCAATGTCTATAAATGAGTCCAGGAAGAACAATTTGGCCCTGCAGATTGTGCACACTGAGGACTAGAGAGGCCTGTTCTCTACTGATAGGATGTTCAGAACTCTTGTGGAAAATACAGACTTCTCTGAATGCCGGCTGACTCTTGAGGCTCCTTTCAGCCCCAAAACTCTATCATTCAAGGGAATGGATGACTCACTATCAAAGATAGAGGCATGTAGCCAACCATTTCCTTACATACAGCACCTAGGATGGCATCCCAGGTCTGCCACCACCCATTGTGTAGCTTTGAACCACCAGTTACCTCTCCATTGCCTCTTATTACCTCACCTGCAAAGTCAAGGGGCTAGATGAGGCATGCAGGTATTTCTTCTACCTCTGAAAGTCTTTAATATTATTATCGAGTCATTAAGATCAAAGAAGAAAACAGGTTTAAAGTATCCTGCTCCTGTACTTGGCATCTGTTGAGTTTCCAAGAGACAGACCTAATTAATCTCTGCTATAGAGAAGAAAGATGACAGATGGACAAGTAGCCCCAGCCCCCAGCCCACCCCCATTCTCAGGCCTGTGACCATGAGAACAGTTCGGCTGCAAAGGTAAGGCCCTGGTTCTGAGCCCTACAAGGGATGTGGTCCTGATCAAAAAGATGGTGTAAGACGCCCCCTTCGGTATAAGGTGCTGTAGACCAGGAGCTCTCCCACATCTACCACCTGGGTCTCAGTTTTTATCATGTACAAGGATGGTTCTTAAGTTAAATGCTTCAAATTGACCAAGGGCTAAGAACAGCAGGGACTGCTTTTGATACCACTTATGGGGACTTTTCTTCAGAGCACTTAACTGAAGAATTTCCATTTGTCCCAGACCCGGAGGGTTCCGCACCCAGCGGCGGGGTGGGCCGCTCACCTGATGAAGGTGGTCTTCCCAGTGGAGTACTGGCCCACCAACAGGACCATGGGCTTGTTGTCGAAATCAGCATCTTCCAGGGCGGGTGAGTGGAACTCGTGGAAACGATAATGTTCTTCCAGGGGCAGCAGCTTGCTCTTGTAGAGTTTCTTGAGCCCCTCGCTCACCGTCTGGAAGACCTCCGGGTCCTTCCTCCGGCGATCGTCGTTACCGAGCCAGCTAAACATCGCGGTAGCGGGGGAAGGCTCCTAAGAAAGGCGCCCGCCGGGCTGGAGCCGCGCCACCGCCTCACCGGAGCGCAGGGCTCAGCTGCACCATGGCTCTGGCGCGCGCTGCCCCAAGCTGCTGGACCCAGCCCAGCCCCTGCTTCATCCGGAGCCGGGCCAGAGAGGAAGATGATGCAGACTGCTCCAGAAGGGTTGTTGCAACCTTGGAAATTAAAGACCAACCTGCGACGCAGGCGGCCGAAGCCCGGGCGGGTGCGGTGCGGAGGTGTTGGATATCCCCCAGATGCTCTGCTAAAGGATGCTCCGGCTCCTTTTTCCCTGGCCGAGGCCGCTCAGGGGAGGCGGCGGAGCAGATAGCTCCACATCCGCAGCAGCACCTCGCTGGCCAAGGCGCGCGTTTAAATGCCAGCCGTGCAGGAAGCCAGCGCGTGGAGGAAGTCCCCGAGTACTGGCAAAGCCCAGCTGGCCCCGTGTTCTGGACGAAGCGAAGTCGAGCAGGGCGCCGCCATGTCTATGGGCAGGCGCTGCGCGTCTGGGTGGCCGCTCTCTAAAAAAACCCGTGTTGCAAGAGTTCTGTGGGAAAGTGCTGGCATTTCAGTCCGGGTCCCTGGGAGTTTAACTTAGGAACAGCGCCCTCTCAGGGATCAGCTACTAAGAATCTTGACCTGCTCATTCCCTGCTTTTACTCTCAGTTCCTTTGTCTACAGAGGTCAATTCCCTAGCGACTCTAGTATTGGGGGATATTTGGGACAAATTCTAGTATTTGGGAATATTTTTCTTGGGGCATGGAAAGGAGTGTCCAATGGTAGGTGACAAAATAATAAAAATTACCAGTAACTAAACTTTTCGTTCGACCTGGGATGAAGTCAAAACTGTTTCCATTTGTCCGTCTATTCATTCATCCAATGAAACAAGTATTGAGCATGTGTTAAGGGCTCCAACACAGTTTGCATGACTGGGTGCAAAGATGGACTGTGACTTTTAGGAGCTGCAGATAAGATGAAGCACAGGCAGAGGGATAGGAAAGCCCAGGGGAAACATCCTTCTCTTCTTTTGTAGACAAATTGAAGAGGGCCTCACAGAAAGCGTGACTGTGAACTGGATCTTTGAGAATGAACTGAGAGAAGAAAGGAAAACATTCAAGGCTAAGTAAAGGAGAGAGAGAGAGAGAGAGATCTTACTGTGTACAGGTCAGTGTAAACAGTTGGGAAGAGTTGGAATATAGGGCTCAGGAAGGTAGATGGGATGATGACCGCCAGGCGCGAATGGGTATGCATGCTAAGACAGAGTCAAACAAGAAATGGGAAACCCATAATAATTGTTACAATAGCATTACCAATAATTTGCTATATTAACAAAGTGCTCACTATATGCAGTTGCCTAGTTGAGATCTCAGTAAGCACTGTTTCATCTCAACTTTAAAGCTCCTCTGTGAGGAAGAGCGTATCATGCCCAGCATCATGTCGTAGAGAGTGCCTGCAACAATGGCGAGCTGTGGGCAAAACAGGGCACAATAAACAAACTCAGTGACACACTGCTTTGTATTAGCACGGATCTAAACAGTGTATGGAGGCAGATCATTCCTTTCTACCCAGGCAGAGGGCTCCCACTGCCCTCCCTAGAGCAGACAAGGCCAGTAGCTGATGGACCAGGAAGGCTGAAAAACAAGAGGCTGGAGGCCAAGAGATATGTCAGGAGACTCCTGAGAATGTCAGAGGACAGCAGCAACGGGACAGAGAAAAGATCAGAGTCAAAGATAGTTTAGTAAGCAATGACAGAGGAAAGGAGGATGACTTGAAGCCTAGGGCAATTTCAAATTTTTACTGCTAGGGATGAGACAGTAATTGAGGAAGTCAGCAAGGGAACCGACTGAGTAGGCAGAGGATGTCTTCGAGCTACAGTGAGTTGCCTTTGAGTGCTTACATGTAGGAAGGGCAAGTGGAGGGATGTGCTGATCATGTGGGATTCTTCATGGGGCCATTAGAAAATGGTTCTGAATGGGAATTCCCTTAGTGGAGCCCTAACAGATTGTTAGGATTGTTAGTGGAGTTAACAGATTGTTAACTCACATGGCAAGAGAATGGGAGAATTCAAATAAAAAACCAAACTGAGTTTATGATGGAAATTAACAAGGTAATGCTAAACTATAAAGAACCATGGTCCCAAAATAGTTTAGATATTCCACCCACAAGAAAAACAACAGAGAGGGAGAGAGAGAGAGGGAAGAAGAAGGGGGACAAGGAGAGGAGAACAAACAGGAGGAGGAAGAGAGGAGGAGGAGGAGGAGGAGGAGGAGGAGGAGGGAGAAAGAAATAGTGACAGCAGTCAATAGCCTAAGTGAACTTTCCCTGTTAAAATGTCAGCAAATACAGAAAACTGGTATATACAGAAGTCACACTAGAGAATGCATATATGTCACCACAGATCAGGAAGAATCTCTTTAAAAGACACCAAGAATACCAATTGCAAATGAAAAAGAATAAGTTTAGAATTAGGAAAACTAAGAAAATTTTCTCCAAGTAAAGATACAAAAGAGAGTGAAAAGGTATTTATAATACAGCTAGCACAAACAAATTATAGATAGATGATAGACAGATATAGATAGATTGATTGATAGATGATAGATGACAGACAGATAGATAGATAGATAGATAGATAGATAGATAGATAGATAGATGATACCTGGGTTTTGTGCATCAGGGTTATAATCCCAGAAACTCAGGAGGTTGAAGCAGGAGGACCAGAAGTCCAAGACCTGGGGCTTGGGAGATGACTCAGTGGGTAAAGCACTTGCTGTGCAATTATGAGGAGTAGAATTTGTACCGCAGAACTCACATAAAAACCATGTTGGTGTGGTAATCTGCCCATAATCCCAGTACTCAGACAGAGACCAGGAATCCCTGGAGCAAGTTGACTGACTTACCTGGCCCAAACCATAAGCCCCAGGTTCAGCAAGATCCCTGCCCCATATATAAGGTGGAGAGTGTTGGAGAAAGACACTCAGCATTAACCTCAGGCCTCCACATGCACATACATTAACATGCAACCTCCTCACATGTGTGTCCACATTTATATGCAAGCACATATATGCTCATGTATGTATGCTACATAAACATACATATTAAAAAAACAGTTCAAGTCCTGCCTGAGCTACAGAATGAGTTCAAGGCCAGTCTGGGCAGCTTAAAAAGACCTTGCCTCAAAATACACAAAGGGGTTAGGGATATAGCTCAGTGGAAAAGCACTTACCTAGTATGTGCCAGGTCTAGGTTCAAGCTCTAGTAGCATACACATGCATACACACATATGAAAGGTAAGCATTCCATTGGAAAAGCAAACTCACAAAAATTCGTTTTACAAAAGAAGTGGATGAGTGTTTTACAAATAGTAGAAAGATGGTGAAACTCGTTCATGTTTAGAGAAATGCCAAAACACAACAAAATGGCAGAACATAAAGAAGTTGGACAATCCAAGTACTGGCAAGGCGGCAGAGGAGGGCAGCTCTCAGTCAGTGCTGGTGGATGTGCAGATTGGAACGACTTCTTTGGGATTGCCTTCACTTGGCATTGCCTAGTGAAGCTGAAGATGTGCTGTCCTATTATCTGCCATTCCATCCCAAGGTGTTATCTAGAGAAACTCTCTTATGTGTGTACACGGAGATAGGGAGACGATTGTCAGGAGGCAACATTATTCTTGGCAACTAAACATTATAAGCAAGTAAGTGTCCCTCAACAAACAGATGGATATATTGTGCCACGTTCATGTAATAAAGTGCATGTGATGTAATAAGAAAAATGAGGGAACCAGAGCTAGTGATGCTAAACATAGTGCTGCCTGAAAAAAGCTGGAGATAAGTTATCATGCATAGCATAACATCATTTCTTTAAAGTTTTAAATCATGCATGCAAATCTTTCTATCTCTTGCTTGTAAATGCATATGTATGGATGTTAAGTTCTCCTTCTTCCTTCCTTCCTTCCTTCCTTCTTTCTTTTCTTCCATCCTTTCTTTCCTCTTCCTTCCTTTCTTTCATCCCTCCCTCCCTCCCTCCCTCCCCTCCCTCTCTCTTTCTCTCTTTTTGGTCCTGAAACAGGGTCTCCCTGTAGCCCCAGCTGGTCTAAAACTCAATACGCAGGCCAGGATGGCCTTGATTTCATAGAGATCCATGTACCTCTGACTTTCGAGTGCTGAGATTAAAGGCATGTATCACTACATCTGGCAACGTTAAGTTTTAAAAGCGAAAAGCAAGGGCATATGGGCCATTCAGGAGAGTGGATGATTTCCATAATGGTAGTTCAAAACAAATTACACTTGACTTTTGTGTTGTTCTTCTTTTTAAAAATGTATTTGGGGACAGGAGAGATGGCTCAGTGGTTAAGAAAACTGACTGCTCTTGCAGAGGACCACGGTTTGGTTCCCAACACCCACACAGTGGATAACAAACATCCATAACTCCAGTTCCAGGGATCTGACACCTTCTTTTGACATCCGTGGGCACTGAGTGACACAGATGCACTTACATACATGCAGGTAATACATGCATATACATAAAATAAAATAAAAATAGCAAAATATTAAGTGTATTTTAATAATATAATGAATCCCTGATGAGTGTATCTAGTCTAAGGATTAGGAAAACTAGCAAGCACTAAATGATATGTTCATCCCCTATCCTGTCCCTTGTCCCTTTTCCATACCTAGAGAGACCCTTATCCCGAATTGAGTGTATATTACCTGCCTTTTAAAATCAATTTTATACACACATCTTGCTGTGATCTCTATTGTGAGACTATAAGGACCAGGCTGTATCTTACTCCATGTACTTCTCTTGGATCTCCACTTCTCTTCTATTCAGCATTTTGCAGCCACGTTTGTTTTTAGCTCCCTCTAGGTCCTCCGGGTCTCCCTCCCGCCAGGTGCTTTCCCAGTTCAGCACACAGTCCCTGTACTGTGTCACCTGACCATGCAGGGGGTGCTCAGTCACCTGCAATTGAGTCCTGGTTCCGTGACCCCTAAACTTTTGTTGTATGACTTTGATGGAGAGCAGCTTTGTATGCAGGCCTCAGCTCGCTGGTCAATGCAAGGGTGGTGGCAGCAGCGTTGTTTTTCTGGATTAAAGGAGACAATGTTCATAGCATGCTTAGGACCGTGCCCAGTCTACTAAGAGTGCTTGCTCTCATGTA